CAGAAGTTTTCCATTCAGATAGGTGATCCGCTTACAGATTGTCATTTATGTACTGTTTGGTAAGTATGCAACAAGTCTGCAAGTTATACTGTATTTCTTATGGTAATTTTCCTTTTTCTTAATTTTTTATTTTGCATATGCATTGTATCCTATTTTTTTCAATTTCTTGAATCAACTTTTTATGTCCCAACCACAAGTGATATTGTTATAGTCTCTTTTATGTAGTTTGGCAGTTGATGTTTGATGTTTGGCAGTTGGCGTCTATAACAAATGAAATGGAGTCTGTTACAAATGGCAGGTGGTGACATTTTGGATGTTAATGCCTTGTTGATTACTTGCTATTTGTTAATTGCTTTCCTCACAATTCTAAGAAAATAAGTATTCATGGTAAATTACTAGTTATTACTATGGCTAATTTATGATTGTTTTATCACCTGTAGACATTGGGTGTTATTTTACAGGATAATTATATCTTGGGTTAAAGATACTTTCAGTTCATGCTCATTTCACGTCATTTCTCTCTTGATTTTGATTAAAGTGTCTGATTTTCTTGCATTTCTATACAATTTAGAGTGTTAACTATATGTATGTTAAATTCATTCCTTGCTAATTCCATTCTTTTCCACTCTATTTTTTGTTTTAAAAAATACTTGTCATGATCTTTTTTCGGGTAATCCTAATGACTATGAATTATTGATGGCCAATGACATCATCCTAAAAGTAATTTCAAAAGGTCATGTTTTAAAATGCAAAATAGAGTGAAAAAGAGTGGAATCAGCAAGGAATAAAATAGACAGGCATGTAGTCAACACTCTGAATTGTATAGAAATGCAAAAAAAACAGACACTTCATTCAAATTTTAAAGAGAACAGGTTGTAAAAACATAAGCAGACGGACATTTTGAGTTCAGGTTGTACTCATCCCTTGCTGGACATGATAACTTCTTGTTCTCAGAAACTATATTTACACCAAAGCAGAAAGTATGTTTTTGATTTTCATGCAGAAATCCTAAGGAAACACGGTATGTGTTGTTCATATGATAGTTTAGAACACAAAGGAGATGATTTTGGCGGAGGCTTCCTTTCTGGAGACAATGGGATATGTTGATATAGCTCATTTATTATGACATCAGATAGTCTTGGCTTAGAGCAAGCAAACGTGTAAACAAGCAAGTAGACAAGTAAGTAGGTAAACAAACAAACAAGCAAACAAAGAATATCTAGGAGTATATTTGAACCTGCACCTTTATTATTAGATCTAGCACTCTAAAAAAATATTACTTGACAGCTAGCTGAAGTAATTTGATTGATTACTAAGTAATTTATAAATTACTTATGTCACCTAAAATGTAATCATATTACTTAGTAATTGTTTATTTGTGTGAATTACTTACTTAAGTAATTGTAATACTTTATTTGTAAATAAATTGTTTCTGTTTCTGTTTTATTTGCATATAAAAGTAATAATATTACTAGGTAATTTTATTCCCCATTTGCATTTTAACATTTCATTAATAGTAATACTAGCAATGTAAATGAATTACTATGTTTAATAACATTTAATTGAAAATACATTATTGAGTAATTCTTTTAACATTCAAATTACTATATTGAAATATTATAATACTAGCAATGTAAATAAATGGTACCAAATAAATGTTTAATTGCACTAAATTCGAAATACATTACTAAGTAATCTTTTTGATATTTGAATTACTTGATAGAAATATGATAATACCAGCAATGTAAAGGAATTACTAAGTTTAATTGCATTAAATTGGACATACGTTACTGAGTAATCTTTTGATATTTGAATTACTATATAATAGCAATGTTAATGAATTAATATGTTTAACTGCAATAAAATGATAAGATTATACTGAGTAATTCTAATACTTAGTATTCTAAATTTTTAAAATAGTAATTAAATTACTTAATGTAGTTTGATATCATGTTTTTTAATATTTTTAAAATCAAGATTTAATTCTTTATTAAAAGAAACTGTAACAAAATTATAAAATAATAAATTTGCAAAGAACTATGTCAATTTTATGTGAAGCTGATTAACATACGATTAATTAATGCTAACTCTATTTGATATTATCCTAATAAGACAAACTCCATTTTGTGGTATTCAGTTTACTATTAGGTCTGGTCTCCAAAGGTAAGGTTACAATTTGTTCAAAGTGCTGTATGTAATCATGGACATATGTGGAAACTTGAGAACAAAAGAATTCTCTTGATAATATGTAAATAAATCCTAGCCAAGTTAAAAAAAAGAAAAAAAGTCTTGAACAAATTATTCAATTTTTAATTAGGTAATTTCAATACTTAAGTAATATAATTACTTAGTAATTTTATCCTCAAATATAGAATACATTTTGGAGCAAAACAATTACTTATAGAATAGAGTAAAATAATTACTTAATAATTATAATTATTTATAATACAAGTAATTTTTTAATTACTCAATATAGTAATTCAGTCAAAATAATACTTTGCTAGTAATATAATTACAAAAATGAAAACCCCTTTGGGACAAAAACAATTACCTGACCTAGTAATTAAATTACTTGTGAATACAAAGATAATACAAACTTAAGTAATTATTTTTTAGAGTGAGGGTCCTATTAATATCAGAGACTTCATAAATCTGGAGTTAGCCTTACTTAGGATGCTATAAAAGAAGAGAAGAAAGCTATATTGTGATAAAGGAGAAAATGAGAAAGGTTAGGATGGTCATTTTTAGAAAAGCAGAATTGAGTAAAAAGGAATGGAATCAGCAAGGAATAAAGTAAACTGACATGAAGTTGATACTCTAAATTGTATAGAAATGCAGGAAAATCAGACACTTTATTCAAATTTTAGAGAGAAATTGAGTGAAAAAAGCATGATCAGACGATTTTCAGAATTGAAGGTGTATGTAATTAATCTGATATCCAAATGGGATAATATACTATTGAAGTTTATGATGCACTCAAACAATTGTATCAGGGGAGTATACTGCTAGACGTTTTTTTAGTTTATAGTTTCTCCTTCAGGATACTAACTTCTCTTAAGTGAGATTCTGTGTCCCTTCTGGAAATGTAAGAGTACAGTAAACTAAAGAAATAAAGAGTAAAATTTGTCTTTTCTCAGTTATAAAGTATAGGAGAGTATAAATTGTGTGGCGTCTTATGAGTTCCCATTTCTGTACTTTTACGTATTGCGTAATTGATCAGAGAATTATGTTTGATTGAATTTGAATAACACCCCAGGGAAAGTATTTTGAAGATCACAAGAAACATTCATCCATTTTTAATCATTATGAATTGCGTCACTGACAATAGAATTACGTACAATCAACTAATTTAAGATAATTTAAAAACCAAAAAGTCTTTCATTCATTTCATGGAAATTGTAGTTGTCAGTTTCTTGTATGTCATTTAAGGTTGTTTTTCAAAAAATCAAACTTCTTCTCAAATCAAAATGAAATCATAATTTATATCTTCCCTTAATGCATTAATCTTCACTTCTCATTTCAACATTTAGACACCACTTAGTTTGAATTAGCTGTCACATTAGCAGTGTAGGCTCACCGTTCACCACTGTGTGGTTAATTTTGAGCATTAATTTTTGTTTTTAGTTTGATGGGAGATCTTACTGTAAAACTATTTGTTCTACCTCACTGTATTACGTAACAAAGAGACTATATGCGAGAGCGGTCAGCTGCTGGTTAATTACTTGTGGTTCAGCTTGCTTGTGTACTGTGTATCTATATGTTGTGTCATGCCGTCTGCCCCAAAGTATTCACACAGTCAGGAAACAGTGAGCAAAAGTGTGACAGCTCCATAACACATTTCAAAGTTGATAAATCTTTGCTTCATGTATTTACAAATCCTCTCTTTTAACTCACTCCATTACAATAGTTAAAGACAAAGGAGGAATTACCTGTGAATAAAATCTTCCCACATTTATTCATGAATTCAAAAATGGAAAAACGTAAATGAATGAAGTAGGCTGAAAGTCTCTGTGTCAAGTGTCAACTTATGTAGAAATATAAGTTAAAGTAGATTTTTCTGTCAAACAAATCTTACAGAGAATAGGAGTAAAATAAGATGTTAAGATGTTACGATTGAAGGCTTGGTTGCATCTTAGATTGAGGTAATAAATCCAGTTCTAATCTCTCTCCCTCATTAGGTAAATCCGTCTGCTAAAAATCTAGTTGAGGTCATGTTTATTTCTCTCAATTTCTCTCTAAAATTTGAATGAAGTGTCTGATTTTCTTGCATTTCTAAACAATTTAGAGTGTTGACTACATGCCTGTTTACTTTTTATCTTGCAAATTCCACTACTTTTCACTCTATTTTTGATTATAAATGTAACCATCATGGAATATCTGCACGGGAAACAAAAAACATTTCTGATCAGATTTACTTTATATATGCAGGATTGAAGTGTTTTGTTTTGTCCCTTAAAAGAATGTCATTCCACAGCATCTTTGGACATTATCTTCTTAAATTTAGATTTTTATATTTACTTAAGTATACACATGGATATCCTCTTGTCTTTCTTTGATGTCTTCAACAAATGGAATACGGCAATTGACATTTTGATATTTCATTTTAGTAAACTATCAATTTTAAATTTTCTGCAAGGGCGAATGAATCCTTACGTAATAAAATGTATCTTCCTAGAAAAAGGAATTAAGGTGAAGGAAGAAAAACTTAACATTTTGATATCAGCACTTAGAAAATGTCATCATTTTGAAATGCAAAATTAAGTAAAGGAGTGGTTTCCAGCAAGAATTAAAATAAATAGGTATTTTGTGAACACTCTAAATTGTATAGAAATGCAAGAAAATCTGTCAGTTCATTCAAATTTTTGAGAGAAAAAGTATGGAAAAGGCATGGCTTCTGCGACTGATTCAAGAAATCTCAGTTATGCAGTATAACATGAATGTAATCAAGCAAGCTGACTTAATTACCTCAACTCAGAATATCGTCTGAGATTGCTGAAAATAAAATATCAACATCATGTTTTGATTTAAAAAATAGAGCGGAAAAGAGTGGAATCAGCAAGGAATAAACTAAACAGGCATGTAGTTAAGACTTTAAATTGTATAGAAATGCAAGAAAATCAGACATTTCTTCCAAATTTTAAAGAGAAAATGCATAAAATAGCCAGGACCAAATGGAAAAATACAAGCTCTTTGTGAACCATTAACGATCCAATGCAGTGTGACATTGATGAATGGACGAACAAACACAGTGGATTAATGGACAAAATAATCGTAAGCAATAATCAAATTATTCCAAAGCGAAATATGTCGAGGTTAAAAATACACCCAAAGATTGGTTTGAACAACCGCGAAAAACTTTCCAGATTTAAATCTGTCAGTTTAACGACTCGGACAGAGACGTCGAAAACTTGCACTAGACCCATCTGCGCTGTATCTGATAGGAAGGAGCTGAATGAGGATTTACAAAAATATGGATGGATTTATCCAGATAATGTAAGACGAAGATTGAACTATGAACTCTTTGACAGGGAATGCTGGGTAGGTACATCTCTTATATATATTGTTGTTTTTTTGTCTAACTCAGCATGTTTTGCTTTGTTCTGATATTGAACATGAATAGTTTTGAATGTTTTGGTAGATATCTAAAGAAATGTTCTTCAAGTTTGTGGTTTTGTATGTCTTAAGGTACCTCATATGGTGGATAATATGGTAGTCTTAGTGGCTATACAGTAGTCTTAAGGTGTCATTTATGATGGTCTTAAGGTGGCTATATAGTCTTAAGGTGGCTAAGATGGTGATCTTAAGGTGGCTTGTGAGTTAGTCTTAAGGATTCAAGGTAGCTCATATGGTACTCCTAAGGTGGCTAATATGATGATCTTAAGTTACCTTATATGGTTACCTTACGGTTGCTTGTCTTAGGATGGCCTATATGGTGGCCGTAAGGTGGCTTATATGATTGTCTTAGGGTGAATATAAAGTGGCCATAAGTGGCCTGGTATCTTAAATGATGGTCTTCATATCATGACAAAATTTGAATATCATATATCTTTAGGGAAATATATTATATCTCCCCTATTGTGACCAACTACTGCACATCATATATTTAGCTTAATCATGTTGTTGGTAAGGTTAAATTGATATCTATATAACTTAGCTGAGATACACATTAACCTTTATTAAGATTATATAATGTTATCTTTGACTTAAGTTTTTCTTAGAGAGCTTAATGATATTCCCAGTGACTCACATAAAGACTGCACAGTGTAAGATATATTTAATGGCAGTAAGACAATAAGGGCCAAGGCCTGGATTATGTTCAGGTAAATTGGGAAGGAGTGAATAGTTTATTTTATGTACCAAAACATATGTTCCTTTTGGAAGTTTATCTATGGCTTGCTAACTGGACTATATATACAGTATGTATGCACAGGTGCCAAAGAGGAAAGACCAAAAATTGTTACAGAACACAAGAATAGAAAACATCTAAGAGCAAGGAGAGCAAACCCCAACTATCACAATTACCATAATCTAATGTGAAAAGAAACCGTGTCTAAGTCAGTACCCCCTCCCATAAGTATAGAAAAACTATGTATGGTTTGCCAACTGGATTATGATATGTATGTATGGGTTGCCAACTGGACTATGATTTAGAATTTATTAAGGCGCGGCCATTGTGTTATCAGGGCATGGCCAGACTACAATTATACAGACTACATTTATACAGTCACATTAATCTACAAAGATATTGTGTTGAAATGGTTGCGATGTTATAGATTTCTTTTCTTAAAGCACATTTCAATGAAATGCAGGACTTCCTCCATATTTGGTTTGTATGACATAATGTATAGGAACTTGTTTTCCTCAGTCATGTTAGAAAAGTCCTTATTTAACGTTTGAATTTTATCTAATAATATTAGTGCGCTCACTTTCGTAGATTTTGGATCTCATAACAAAGTGCAGCTCAACTTCAACACAATTATCTGAACATTTTATACATTTGCGTTCATTCACTTTTTCATTTATTTTTGTATCTTCCTGCTTCAATCTCTAATGAATGGTCACTCAGTCTCAGCTGTGTGTATGGCTTGCCAACTGTACAATGATGTATGTATGGCTTGCCAACTGGACTATGATGTATGTATGGCTTGCCAACTGGACTATGATGTATGTATGGCTTGCCAACTGTACAATGATGTATGTATGGCTTGCCAACTGGACTATGATGTATGTATGGCTTGCCAACTAGACTATGATGTATGTATGGCTTGCCAACTGGACTGTGATGTTGACTCTAACTCTCAGGATTAAAGAATGTATAACTTCCCTCACCATCTTTGACTTGTGGTTATAACTTGAAGTTGGAGCAACTGAAACTTTGTGAATCAAGCTGTTCCTCAAAGTAAAATGCATTTAGTGTTCAATAAAACAGCCCTTATTTGAGTGAAGGGAACATGACTTGGTTGATATTTCAAGCAGACAGTTGGTGACTTTATTGCTTTACTACAGAAAAGATTTATCAATTTCTTGCTCTTGACATCAACTGATTATGTCTGGCTTCAGAAAGATGTCAAGGTGGTCATGTTTTAAAATCAAAAATAGAGTGGAAATGAGTGGAATTAGCCAGGATTTAAAGTAAATAGGCATGTAGTCAACACTCTAAATTGCAAAGAAATGCAAGAAAATCAGAGACTTCATTCAAATTTTAGAGAGAAATAGCATGAAATAGACAAGAGAGAAATCTTCATTAGGGTGTTCTATCACATTGAGATATTTAATATTGCAATTTAGTGCTCTGATCAACACACTCCTTTCACCTAAAATTCTCATTTGTCATTCCCTTTCAACACATTTCAGTCTTTGAATTTGGAGTAACTGTCTGACTTTTCTGAATTGCTAGACAATTTTGAGTTTCAACTGCATGTTTCTTTATTCCTTGCTGATTTCACTCTCTTCCACTCTGTTTTACATTTTAAAACATCACCGTTTTGGCATTTTAGTAAGTTTACACATATTTTTCTACAAAAATTTTTGTACATATGTAATTTTCTTGGAGAAGTCTATGAGCAGAATATCGGGGAAATATTTCAAAAAAATGATAATGGTAAAACTTATAGCCTCTATACATAAATAGCTGCACATATATTTTGGCAAATGGGCAATTCTGGCAATAAGCAATAAGAGGCAATAGCCAATGTAATGCAATAAGCAATGTATGATATGATGCAATAAACAATGTGTAGCAATGTATAATATGATGCAATAAAGGTTTGATGACTTGTTGAATGTTTGCATTTGTGTATCTGAATTTCTATATACTTTATATTTAATTATTCAGCTCATGCTTCAACATACTTTTCATTTCATCTATAAAATAAAGATGTCACCGCATTATCATTTCTAAAAACATCAACTTTATAAAGTACAATGTATAAGGAGGATTTGCACCAGGCATTCTTTTGCCTTCTTTTTTGACTGGCAAATTGACTCTGGTAATAATATTACCATTATGTTCATCTCCTAACTAAATGTTTCATCTGGAGAAGAACAGTATGATAATATAATACAATTACCAAATTGGTCAATGCCAGTAAGGTGATGGAAGAATGCTGGGAGCCAATCCTCCTTGAACTTCATATACATGTAAGAACTAGAATTAACATCAGTTAGTTTTGCATACTATTGTCCCTGAGACTATTAGAAGAGTCTGACAGTAGTTCATGTCCTGCCTTTTTTGAAATTTCATTCTTGTCTATTATGCTTATTACACTCGATTTCTCTCTAAAATTCAAATAAAATATCTAATTTTCTTGCATTTTTATATAATTTTCTTGCATTTCTGTACAATTTAGAGTGTTAACTACATGCCTGTTTACTTCATTCCTCACTGATTTCTCTCCATTCCTCTCTAATATTTGAATGAAGTGTCTGATTTTCTTGCATTTCTATACAATTTAGAGTGTTAACTACATGTCTGTTTACTTTATTCCTTGCTGATTCCACTCATTTCTCTCTAAAATTTGAATGAAGTATCTGATTTTCTTGCATTTCTGTACAATTTAGAGTATTGACTACATGCCTGTTTACTTTATTCCATACTGATTTCTCTCCATTTCTCTCTAATATTTGAATGAAGTGTGATTTTCTTGCATTTTTATATAATTTAGAGTGTTAACTACATGCTTGTTTACTTTATTCGTTGCTGATTCCACTCTTTTTAACTCTGATATTTTCTTGAGGAAAACCAAAGTCAAGTCTTCTCTTTTATGAATGTCTTTGATCATAATTGATAGTTAGTACATCTAAATGACACACATGGTTGATTAAACTACTTCAAACTATCTTATAACTTGCAAAGATTAATGTCAATGATGCCATTTTCTCGAAATAACTAAAGATTATAGAAAAATCAAACAGAAAATTGCTTTTTGCCTGCTGTTATTATAACCCTAGTTATTATGTCCCCACCAGAAATCGTGACATATTGTTTTAGTCTCCAACTTTTTTGTGAATGATGTTCAGAAGTTGGTGTTTGGTATCTGTAACAAGCGGAGGGTGTTTAACAAATGGCAGGTGGTGACATTTTGCATGTTTATTTCTTGCTGAATCCACTCTTTTCTCTGTTTCACAAATTCAGAAGATGAGAAAATGTGTAGACGGACATGAAAAGCAAATTAAGTTCAAACCTGACGCTGACGTCTGCTTGATCTTTTCATAATAAACCTAAATTGAACAAATCAGAAAAAGATTTAAGGTGTCATGGAGAAGGCAGGATTTTCCCTTAAGAAATTCACAAGAGTCATGATTTAAATCATAAAATAGAGTGAAAAAGAGTGGAATCAGAAAGGAATAAACCAAATAAGCATGTAGTTTATACTCTAAAATTTATGGAAATGTAAGAAAATCAGACAGTTCATTCAAATTTTAGAGAGGAATTGAGTGAAATAGGCATGGCTGATGTATTTATTTTTCTGGAATTGTTATAATACAATTTACTATTCCTCTCATGAATCATTATGCGATACAACAGAGATTTGGACGAACTTAGAAATGTCATGTCTTTCAAAACATGTCCCTTTGTCATTCTTCGCCAGGTTGTGTTTTAAAATGTAAAATAGAGTGGAAAAGAGTGGAATCAGTAAGGAATAAAATAAACAGGCATGTAGTTAACACTCTAAATTGTATGGGAATGCGAGAAAATCAAACACTTCATTGTAATTTTAGAGAGAAAATGTTAGAAATTAAGATGACAAACAGATGGAAAACAGGAGCAACGTTTCATTCCAATTTTAGAGAGAAATTGATTGGAAAATGAATGGACACAAAAGTCCAAGTATATTTTTGAATCCGGAAGGAGTAGTACATTCCTTGCTATTTCCTTTACCCTTTATGTTGCATCTTAAACACAACTTATCACGGCATCTGACTTGCGGGGATCCCATCAAGGACGTTTTATACACAGAAAGGAAATGAACTCTTCAGTAGTATCATCAAACGTAGCAATCGTTGTCTCTTAATTGTCACGAATCTTGCA